ATAAAATAATGCTAATGATAAGTCAATGCAGAAAAATAATTTAGTAATTAACTCCTGGTGCCCAGGTGACATAATAAATACACACATGAATTTTAATGTACATTCCTATTTTAGGTGCAGAGATGAATGATTAAATATAATGGAAACAGAAGTTCAAGAAGAAAAATGAACAATGTCAAATTACTTACTGTGGAACAGCTTGTTAATATTTTTAAATTGATAATGGTGGATAGCAAATTGCTCTGGTATTTATACTCAATTTGATACATTTCAAAGACTGATATAATAGTTTTCTTTTTAAATGTCAAGAGTTATAATCTACCAGAAATTAAATCTTTTGCAATAATTTGAATTTGTGATTAAAACTTTAGAAGTCGACCTGAAACATGTATGAGGGTGTTCTGTAGTTTTCAAAATTCCTTAGGATTCATGAGCAGAGGTAGGTGATGCTCAGTGCTAGAGAGGCATGGATTCTCAAGCGATCATTCACAGAAGGTATAAACCAGTCATGCTATTTTTTCAAAACCTTGTGCAGATGAAGCCTAGGTCTTGGCTAATTTCCTCCTGTTTAAGAAGCTGGTCCACTAGCCATGGGAAGAAAGCCAAGACTGACACTGCTCTTGTCACCTCCTGCATGGCTCAGGAGTATGTCTGGGTTCACCTAAAAGTATAAATATAAATTCCCTTGAAAATATATTGTTCTCTGAGCAAATTTAATCCTTGTATGGGAAGCCTCTTTAAAATGTGTTCAAACCTAGGCTCTAGAACAAAGGCCAGGGAGAGCTGTGCCCAGGAGAGAGCCTTGCCAGTCAGAGTGGGCCAGAGAGTCCTTGCTCTGCCCTCCACAGTCCGCAGGATCTGAAGTCACTCTTCCTAGAGGAGGACACATCTCCTTCACAGCAGAAGGTGCTCTGATCATGGCATCCATAAATAAGTTACAGTATATACAGTAACAAATTCTGCTGACCCAAGCTCATCATGAATAGCAGGGGGGAGGAAAAGGTCAAGTTCACATTAAATTTGTTCTAACATTTCCAGGAAAGTGGGATGAATATTTAAGTAACATTTTCCCAGGACTCAATCTCATCTGATCCCACACCCTTGGCTCTTCCCGAGTCACTCTGCTCCAGACACAGGCTCCTCCTGCAGTTCCTCAAACACTCCCAGCTCCACTCATGGGGCTCACTCCTTCCTTGCATTCCAGTCTCTGCGGGAGTCACCTTCTCCAAGAGGGCTGGCTCCCCTACTGCCTGCCTGAAATAACACGCTGCCCACCATTCTATTGCAGAACTGAGCTACTTAGTGCGGAGGACTTCTGAGTCTTCATCTAGAACCCTCACAGGCAAAAGGGGCTTGTGAACATATGATTTATAGCAATTGTTACCAGTGAGTGGCCTTTGCCTTCCATAGAATTTCCTTGAAGACTCAGGTTTGTTTTATACACTGAAACAGTGCTCAGCACACGGTGGGTCTCTAATAGTTAGTGAAACATAATAAGATTGGCTTTTACATACTCATTGCTCCATGTCATTAAATATTCTTCAACAAAATAAATTTTAAAGATTTTTAGTACATATTGCCAAAGTGCTTCCCAGAAAGTTTATCTTTTCATGTTTTATAATAACTCTATAACATCAATCAAATATTAAAAAACATTATTATCACTAATTTTATAGTTCCAATGTGCCTTTCTCTAATTACTAGGATGAAGGTGTATGTTTTCTACATTTGTTTGTTATCTACATCTCTCCTATGATTATCTTTCTATAACTTTTACCCATTTTTTAGCCAATATTTATTAAGTATCTTTATATGCTTTGAAAGGAGAAGGTAAGAATAATAATTCAGGCTGTAGCCTCTATACCTTAGATGTTTATTTAGTTTATGTAAAAGTAAGTTATATAGGTACTAATTACTATGAGAAAGCTTATAAATTGATTTTATTGGAAAATAAGGAAAAAAATATTCAAAAGCTTTAAAAGAGCAGGACTGGAAAAACTTCTGATAAAGTCCTCAAGCAGCAACATTTAGTTCCTGAGATGTACGGCTTTAAAAATATGTCCATTGTTTCCTAAATGCCGCTGCTACATGTGCATAGTAGTTGGAAAAGAAGCAGAGACTTTAAAAGAGGAATACTCCCACTCCCACTGATCATAAAAAAGGAACAGAACAGAAAGGAGCCACCTATCACCTTTCTCATTCCTCCCGAAAATAATGGAATGGGTTAAAATTAACTATGCCAAATTGTCGCTATGATAATTGAATTGCAATTAAGGTGATTATCATGTGTGCTATTTGGCAAGGGAACTCAGAAATAACTGAGTCCTGCCTTTCCCTAGATACCTCTTGGAAGTGAGCTCCCAAGGGCAAAGCAGTCACAAGAGAAAGCCAGGCATGTCCCACACCTTTACTGCTGGGCTCTGCTCTACCATCTCTAACACAGATGACCAGTCAGCCTCTCATGGAGCACTCATGGAGTCAACGAGTTGGCTGTTCTTGGAGCATTCTTTCTGGCAGAGCCACGGGGTTATTTATTCCCTAGATCCAAACTTGGATGTCTAATTTTACCTTTCAGGTAGAAGAGAAGGCTGAATTAAAGCAGACCTCCTAAGTTGGGAGGAAATAGAACTGGAAGAGAAAGTGGGGAGAGAGGGAGGGAGAAAGAGGGGAGGGGAGAGGGAAGGGGCCTCCCCCCAGTGCTAGGTCTCTTGCTCCAAGCTTTCTCATGCCCACCCCCACACCCCATCTAGTGCTGCTGCTTGAGGCAGGGCAAGTCCCAAGGGGGAGGCAGAGCTAAAGATACCAAGAGATGGCCGGGATTTCTCCAAGGGGAATTGGTTGTGGCCCTCATTGACATTCTTCCCTCCGTGGAAGAAACACACCAGAGAGGAAAAATCCACTTGGAGCTCCAACTTTTATCTACTTGAAAGTTGTGCTAATACCAGGTCCTAGGGTTTGAACAATTGAGATCATAACTCTTTCTCCTTGGGGGTAGGGAGTTTGATCATCTTGCTTCATCTTTGAGGAGAATGGAGTACGGGTGTGGAGAAAGGGGCTGAAATATTTAGTGAGTGTCTCCTGGAGGTGCCATGCTGCCATGTTGGTCAGAGGTAAGATGGCTCAGGAGGAACAGGCCAATGTGTAGGAGGCATCGCCCTTTTTTTAAATGAGGTGAGAACACTTACAGAAAAATTAGGTCTAAAGCTCAGAAAGATACTCTTTGCTGCAAAGGGTAACACTTGAAATAGGGCCACCTGGGGATTGATTAGCCTGAAATTTTCCAGAACTTCAAAGGAAACTGAAAGTTAAGCAAGAAAGCCTCAATTCTCTGTAGAGTTAAGAAATTTAGGGAAATAAGATCCATACATCAGAGAGAAGCGATATTTTACATCCAGATTTTTATTCATTTGTTTTCCTTGATTGAAAAGGATATTTAACCTCAAATTGAAGTGGAAAATTTTAAATCAGGAATTTGAAACTAGAATGAACATTTAATCGTACTCCCAATTCTCCTACATTACAGAGGAGGAGGCCCATGTGGGCTCCCTAAACTAGAAGAGCATCCAGGTTTCCCACCTCAGATGTAGTCTTATTTCACTCTTCCAGGAGGGGATATATATGATTGCATCTTATCAGAGAGCGAATTTGTTTAAAACTGAAAGATTAGCCAAAAAAAAAAAAAAAAGAAAGAAAAAGAAAGGAAAGAAAAAAGGAACTGAATGTATATGGATTTTTCAAAATTTCCATATCTATGAATTAATGATGAATTGCACTATTAGAGTAACCAACATCACACTTAACAATCTGCAAGTGGCGAAGGGTGTGAGAAGCCCTTGCCTAGCATGCACAGGCTCTGAGCTTGAGCCCCAGTTCTGCAAAAATAAATATGTAAACAAATCAAACAACAACAACAATAATAGAAATTTTAAAATAAAAAAAACCAAAATGAAACAAAAACCCCGAAACAAAAGCAATCTAAAAATACATGATCCCTGACATACTCAGAAAGAGAAAACCGTGTTTTCTTATTTGTTTTTGTTCATGTTTTTTGGTGCTGCTACTAATCCAAGAGTACATACAGCATAAATATATAAGGCCATACAATGTAATATGATCACACTTTCTATTTGCTAGGCAACTCATGTTATTTATTGTATGCTACCCTTGCAGTAACTCAGTAAGCTAACTGTTGTTGCCATCCTCATTTTACAGATAAAGACACCTAAATGACAAAGAGGTTGAGTCACTCGCTCAAGGTCACACACAGTGAAACCAGGATAAGCCAAAGGAATAGAATAGCCTTGACAGCAAATGCTAGTAGAACCTGAGTTGGGAGCACTGTCACTCCCTGGAGTGGGATCTTGTTCTAAATGTACCACATCCACCCATGAAGCATTGTCTAGTGCATTATTTGGACCCTGGTACATGAAGAGGAAAACCTTACTAGACATTTACCCTGGAGAAGCCTTACTCGTCCTGTGATAAATTTTGTCTGAGATTGTCCTTCTTTTCATTTTGGAGGCCAGAGATCTCAGGATGGACTTTGAAAATGACCTCTCATAATTAGGTAGGACCATTATGGTAGAGGCATCTACTTTCATTGCTCTGGTTTGGGCTTTTACATTTATTTACTTTCCTCTTGGATACCGTTCTCCTCCCTAACACCTTCTCATCCTCCTTGTTACCAGGTAGGAGATACATTCTTTAACTTGCGGAGGCTGGTCTGGAACATGCAATCCTCCTCCCTCAGCCTCCCGAGTTGCTGGGATTATGGGCGTGCACCAATATGTTCTTATTGTGATCCACCTCTTATAGTTTGGACCTGGAATGTCCCCCAAGGGTTCATGTGTTGAGGACTTAGTCCCCAGCTGATGGTGTAGTTGGGAGGTGGTGGAAGCTTTGGGAAGTTGGAGGAGATGGGTCACTGGAATGTGTCCTTGAAGGGTCTATTTTATCCGTTCTCTCTTCTCTACCCCTCCCCCCCCTCGTTCTACTTCCAGACTGCCATGGGGTGAGCAGCTCTGCTCCACCACGCGCCCCTTTAGTGATGTGCTGCCTTACCACAGACCCAGAAACAGTGGAGCCAGGTGGCCACAGACTGAAACCTCTGACATCATGAACCAAAATAAATCTTTTCTCCTTTAAGTCGTTTATCTCAGATATTTTGTCACAGGGATTGAAAGCTGACTAATGTACTACCTTAAATCCTTTGTAGAATCATGATACATAAAAGTAAACTAATTTCTGGGATCACTTTTATTCAACAACAGTAAACCACTACAGCTTTTATTAAATGTGTAATTATATAACATAATGTAAACAGAACCACATAAGTATGAACATCAGTGTTACAAAGACCTTAGAAATAATTCCATAGATGATAAAGTTAATGCTTAAAGAGGCTCAGTGATCTGCCCCATGTCACTCAGCTAATTAGTGGCAAAGAAAATAAATGTAAGAGTAAGTATCTCTATACTCAGTTTATAAAACTGAGTCCAATGTATATAAAGTCTATATCTCCTCTAAGATACTAAGAAATAGAACTCTTTTAAAAAAATATACAAAGCATCTGAACAGTTAAAAACACCAAAAAGTAAGATTTGATTGTGGACTAACAAGAAAGTCATAGGAGTGGTTTACAGTTATAGAGCCAGGAGATCTAATCTGTAACTGAAAGATGTGGGGAACTAATGGAAGACAGAGGGTGGAGACTCACCTTAGTGAGGATGGAGGTAGCTTTGCAGGATGTGACAATGGAATTGAGCCTTGAAGAGAAATGGGAATACCAAGTAGAGTGGTTGGGTAAATGAAGAAAGGGAAATAGGGAACTAGGTAGGGATCAGAACATAGAGGAGCCTTTTCCTGAAGTTTGTGAAGGTTTTGGTGAATCTTCAGTAGGAAAGTGTATGTTTTAATGCTTTGGGATTATCTCTACAGAATGGGCAACTGGTTAACCGTGTATTCATCCATCTTCTGTTACTGTAGTAGGTCACCCAAGGCTGGGTAACTTATTTTTAAAAGAAGTTTGTTGAAATCACAATTTTAAATGATGAAAGTCCAAAGAGCATGGCAGTGGCTCTGGAGAGGGCCTTGTTAGCTGTCACATCAAGGTAGATGACATTATGACAGGAGTGTGAGAAGAGAGATCACAAAGTGAAAGAGGAAAGCAGAGAGAAGGGAGGGGCCAGGCTTGTCCTTCTTTATAACAATGCACCCTGAGAGAACTTTCTGAGGTCCCATCAGAAATGCTCAATCCCTTTCAAGGGCATCACCCCTGGTGACCTCCCCCTAGTCTCCACCTCTTAAAGGTCCACCATTCAACTACAGCCCATGAACCCATAGAGGACCAACCACTCCCAAACCCTAAGAGCTGCTATTACAATAGTTCAGGTGACAAGTAAGAAGAATCTGAACAACACAGTGACAGTGGGGACAGGGAGGAAGAAATACTGCTTTAAAATAAGTAAGTAAGCACTGAAATCTGCAGGTCATGGTCATCAAATAGTTGGTAGAGATGGGGAGGAATGAAGGTCATTCCTCTGGGAGAAAGATCAAGAAGGACTCTGAAGACAATAGCTTGGGTGACTGTGTACAGGGAGACACCATTTGACAAGAGAGAAGGAAGCAGAAGGGTGGGTTTGGAAGGTGAGTCTGCCCTTGGACATGACAATCAACTCTCACATGATCAGTATTAACCTAGCGGTTTCATGAGCTGTTATTAGACTACCTGGTGGAGTCCGTTTGGTTTTGTGTCTGTGGCCCTGGATGGTAATAGAGCAAGCTTAAGGACAAAGGGAGAACTGGAAATGTCTCTCTGAGATTTCTCTCCATGATTTTTAAAGTTGTGTGTATTATATTGCAGGAAAAAAAAAATCCTCTGGGATTGTGATGTAGAGTTTCCGTCCTGACAGTGACAGGTGGAGTCAGAGACCATGCAGGGAAAGTGCACATAGCGAGAGAAATCTGAGATATTAACTTTCCACATGTAAATGTTGGGTGGGGAAAAAGAGGGATCCCAAAGCAATTGAGAAGTACTAGTAAGAGGGGCAGGAAGGAAACCGGAGAACCTCCTGTCAGATAGCCAAGAAGAACACTGTCAAGTGCACACCGGGAAGACTGAGAAAAGAAAAGTCATGGTCTCCAACAAAGGATAGAAAAATATTGTTTTTAAAAAATGGAATAGAAACCTGCCTTCAGTTGTGATAATTAGGAACCCATTGATAATATTATCGAGGTCACATTTTCCTAAGGCTCACCCAATATATGAAGACCAAACTAGATACACACCAGATACACAACAACCACTTCTGAAACAAGGACAGGATTTTCATTGCAGATTGCAAAAAGAAATTCAGTTGTTTTATATGAATTCTGGGTATGAAAAGCCATAAACTCTCACATGATCAGTATTAACCTAGCGGTTTCATATTTTATATCAAGCCAGATTATTAAAGCCTAAAAGTGGTGACTTTTAAGAAGGGTTAAGAAAGTTTTTATTTTTTTCTCAGTCCTTTTATACACAAATTTAATCAATGAAATAAAGACTCAGACTGGGGAGGAAAGCACAACTTTTGGAGAAATCATACTTTGAATCACAGTGTGACTCCGGGCGTGTAAGAGATGCTCAATAAATGGTATAGCTATCATATCATTGTCACATTTCTGGAATCAAAATATTCTCAGTTCAAAGGCAAATTGTAGAACTGAATAGTTCCTGCACAGTATGTGCACATGGAACTATGGTGGGGGGGGGAGGATTAATCTCAAAGAATTAATATTTTTTCTGTTGAAAATATGTTCAAAGTAACACTGGTGTGGATGGAAATAAAGTTGAATTATTGCCACGATAGTTTTCTATTTCCTTGAAATCCTGCTATTCTGGAGAGATTGTCAAAATTATCCTCTCAGGCATTTCATCTTGTGATAAATATCACATTCCCCAACCTCAGTCGTACATACTTAACTACCCTTGGAAGGGGGAGGATAGAATGAGGGAAGAGAACAGAGGGAGCTGGGGACTGCTGCCCCTCCTTCTGTCGGCAAGCACTACAGGTATTTTTTAGCGGCCTGTGTTGGTCTATTGCTTGCTACAGCAATATGAAAAAAAGATGTAATTATATTCCACAAATAATTGATATAAACATATAAAGAGTGAATCACAATCCCACCTTGTTTTTTTTTTTCTCTCTCTCTCTTTCCTTTCAAGTCTCTTTTTACAGTAGCTGCATGTTGGTTCTAGGCTGAGTGCCAGTTGTATCAATTAAACAGTAACTAATTCAAGTACATTTGCAATCTGTGTTTGAAATGCCAGCCCATACAGTGGTTACCAATTAAGCATGAGGCAGATTAATGGGCGCATTGTTCTCCTGGGCTAACTCCACCACATTGTCATTAAGCCTGTGAGCCCCAGTGAGCCAGAGACTTCCATTTAAAGGAAAAGGAAAACACACTCTTGCAAAAAAAAAAAAAAAAGTTGGGTGTTTTATATCACACAGAATTATTTAACAGGAGAGGTGGTGGGTAACCTTTTGAAAGAAGAAGAAATTATGGCCGTTTACTGTTTTGCTCCATCCCTTTATTTTGTGTATATTTGATCAATGGAGAAATATAAAGGTGCAAAATGGGGAGAAAATAATGGGAACAGATCAGACAGACAAATGGCTCCTGTAAGTTCATAGTTCTTAAAACAGATGTTCTTTTCAGCTGGCTATAGTATATCATTATCTCCAGGAGCCCTGAAGATCAGGTACAAAGATTCACCAGGGACAGTGGAATGCGGTGTATTGAAGGTGTGAGCCCTTGGCTCTCTCCCCCTTCCCTGCCCCACTCACTGCAGCTCATTTAAGCACGTAAATGTTTGGGGCAAAGATTTGGTCCATTTTAAATCATACACTTACAATTTTTTTTGAACCAAGTGTAATCATTGCAAATAAAACTGTTTTCATCACTCACTAAACATTTAATGATTGTTGCAGTTTGCATCAGAACAAATGGAAAGTGGTTGAGAATTTAGAAAGTAGCAATGCATTTTATTTCTCTAAAATTGCCGTAGAAGTTCCTCCCTCTCTTTCTCCTCCCTCTTCCTCCCTCCTCCTCTTCCTCTTCTGCCATTTTATCAGACTGCCAATAAATAAATGCCTAAAACACATTATCTTTCTCTTATTACAGAAAAAAAATCCACTGTCTATATTTTATGTGCCATTTTCTTCTGGGCATGGTGTGGTTAAATATTTGGAGGCCAACTTACCTGTTTCTAAAATTTTTAAGAATTACACAGTAAATTGTATTTAATGTTCATTTGATACATAATCCAGAGCTGTGTGCATGGCTCTGAGCTATTACTGAGCCAGTAATAGCTCATCAATATGTGTATTGACCAGACTTCTCTGCCTTTTCCTCTCTCTCAGCAAATGGCATTGTGTCCACTCTTGTCCAGGTCCACAGAGACTCTGCTCACTCCTCTGAGTGGACTAGGAAAACGTGGATGGAAGGAGAGCTCATTAAATCCCAGAGGAAGGTTGCTGGTTCATCTCCCAGCATGGAGATGGGTACATGGCAGGGTCTCTGGTTTCAAAAAAGATTGTGTGTGTGTGTGTGTGTGTGTGTGCATCTGGTGTATGTGTGTCTCTCTCCAGTGTGGAAATGAAAGGTTGGTCTAGTTGTCTTTAACTGATTTAATCACCCACCATAGGGACGTTCCGATTTGGTTGTCATTTCTGCTTTCAGTGCATTTAAGATGATTGAGGTTTCTCAGATAACTGCAGTATGTGATTTTCCTACTAAGGAAGGCACCGGAAAGGCGTTCACCTCCTATTCCCTTCCTCACCTCCTTTCTCTCTCTTCTCCATCCTCCTCACACCTTCAGGTCCCCTCCCCTGTCACCGGCTCATCGGTGGAGGAATAGAAATGTTCAAATCAATATGAGAATGAATTGCCACATGGTCTTTATTGTGGAGGCAAGGTTCCTACAGAAAATCCTTGTAATCAGAAAAGAGGGAAGATGAGATTAAACTGATTAAACTGAGAAAGTCAAAAAAGGACAACTTGAAAGATCAGCTCTACAACGGCAGGAAAGCATCACCCTCTGTGCATGCTAAGTAGCGCGTCCTCGCCACTATCAGCCCCTTCATCGGGTGACCTTGTGT